ACTAATTGAATAAACACACTCACTACATGAACACGGAGCTGTGACTATCATCATGAACATCCCATAGTTATATCATGTAGTACTTATAGTAACGAACGCAAAAATTACCTTTCCCACTGTCTATAAAAGGGCCAACTATTTCAGGCTAGCGTTGAGAAACGTAGAATGTACCTAGCCGTGGGGGGCGGGGGGCGGCGGGGGGGGGTGTCGGTCGATCGCCTCGCGGAGCGGCAACCTCGCGCGGGGCGGCAACCTCGCAGTCAGCTGTTGCTTACATTCAAAACAGTTGCAATGGATGCAGGGTGCAGGCTCTCCCGGGGAGCTCCTTGGCTAAACTACAGATGTATCGCATGATTTATTCCATACAAATCGGAGTACTATATATGTTATGTTACGTTGCTTCATCCTCACGATTAAATCGCTGATCTGCTACACAGATAACGATGTACAGGAAACACGTACACGTTTTGTATAACACATAGGGATTAATGACTTGAAACACACTATAGATAGCTGTGATAACTTTTAATCTCTTCTTTGTTTATAGTATGTATAATGTAGTTTGTAGTGTTTATACGTTCAAATTAAAAATGTATACGTCACTGTCAATATGTCAAATGTCAAATGTGACAGTTTTCCACGTTTAGAATTTAGGCATGTACAGTAGACGAACCGGATATCTGAAAACCGTCAAACGAAAAAACAGATATTGATTATTTTTAATTAATAAAATCGGATTTGCAGACGCACTCTCGCCTCCGCAGCGGCGAGCTGACTATCTATTTTTCAATATAGCGGATTTAAATTTTAAATCTCATCCGTTGATCCGTTATATATAAATTGAATTTAAAACTAGGAAGAATTTTATAGAAAATATGAAGTTTTTAATAGTATGAATTGAGCCTTCTGTTAAGGGGAGGATATAATCAAAGAATCCAAGATAAAATGAAGGTACAATGGAATATTAAAGATATCACAGATATGAGGATACTGTTATTGATTTTATCTCAACAACTGGTTGTAACTCGCAGCTTATAGCATCGCGACTAGCCTAGGAGATAGACAACTTTGATATCAGACCAAAGAAATATTTAAACTATAATCATACAAAAAATTACCAATACAGGGTGACTGGTGAACTACTATCGATACTTGAGGACGTGATATTTGACGATCATATATGACAAAATAAAAATTAATATAACATAAATATTAATAAACTTCTAAGTAAAGTTAACCAAAAGTTATGTAATTAATTACGCATCGTGTGAACACCCTACAGATTAGGTATACACACACACACACACACATACGCGTGTCGCGACGTGGTGTTGTATCAGCACGCCGCCGCACGCGTCCACACTTGAAACACTTGGAACGTGTCAACACTTTATTTATTTATACGGAAGTTTTGTCAAAAATGAAGTGCTTATTTTTTTACATAATTCGAATGAGAATCATGTACCGAGTATTCTCCTTAAATATTGATAGTAATTCACCAGTCACCCTGTATATTTAATCTAGAAAATATTACTTTTTGTTATTGGATGTATAGCTTTAGGTAAATTTATATGACATATCCATAGATTGCAGAAAACCGATAAAATAATCGTCTCGTCTTTTCTTGATTTTTTTTTATATTTCTATTCGATTTTATATGTGGTTCACGTGTCTCAATGTTCAAGTGTCAGCGAGTCACGTTTCTCACGTCCACGAAACGTTTGAATAAATAAATCAGAATTTAAAATATACATATAAAATACAAAAAATACACTATATACTGTTTTTTCTTGCTTTAAAAAGTTTTCAATGGTGACTTTTGTATATTGGCTGTATGATAGTAAACATATAGTATGTATTATCTATATTAATAGTGAATCAATTATCTTTTATGTCTAGCTATTGCTTGTTGCGTTGTAATATAATTGCACGTACGATAACATCTTAATAATTACTACAGCCTTATCTTTTGAGAAATTGCTAACAATTTTATTTAATAGTTGCTTTTATTTTGTGAATAGATATTATTTATTAACAGGACAAAAAAGTAATGTCAATTTCAAATGACATATAAATTTTATGTTCAAAAATTTATGTAATATAAATCATAAAAGATAAAGTTTATGAAAAAAAACCAAACAAGCTACAAAATTTGTTATAATATTATAAAGGAAAAATATATATACCGACAAATTTTTATATAAATTTTGAATAGAACTCAATATGATAAAAAATTACATTAAAACAAGATTTACAAGGAATTAGGCAGGTCGAAAAATAAAATAAAGACACTTTTTGTTCAAAATATCAAATTTATTTTGTTTTTATAAAAAATATAATCATCTTTGACGCTCTAAAAATAAAAACGACAAAATTCCAATACGAAAAGAATAACTAGAAAATGGTATTCACTATTTATCAAACAGATTAAAATAAAAATATTACTAGAACTTCCCTCACTGGAAAATTGTCAAATTCAATTTTACTTAACGCAATTTAAATGGATGGAATTAAATTATTCATTCAGTAACATTACGTCGGATGTAAAGAGATTAGGGAGAATTGTATTCATATAAAGATTAACAGATGAAGGATTAATACATGTTCCATTTATATTATTTATATATACTATTACATATATACAACAAACCTCCTTTTAGTTGAACTCCATAGTGTGGAAAGAAAAAACACAATTCGAATGCTTTGTGTGGCTAAGACTTAATGTTTAGAATAATAAGGTATGTACTTACACGATATACATTTATACAGACTTAATTTTTTTATTATACATTTTAATTTATTATGGTTTTATTTTAAATAAATACAATGTTTTAGGAAACTTCCCTTAAATAACATGTTTTTTCATAACTTCCCCTTAAATTACATGTTTAAACTTCCTTAAAAAATTGGTGCAGTTACGTATCTTATCGTTAAAACGTCATTATTAATTTCTGCTCGTAAAGATAACATTTGTTCTGAATATTCATAACCATCGTTAAACACTGGTAATTATTCCTTATCGTAATACTAATATTATATGAACTTCACTATCCTGATGACCTACAAACGAAACGAATAAAAGAAATTAAATTCAAACGTTCTGATGTATAAGGGAAGATGGCTGAATCGCTTTAAACTTTCGCTATCGCTAACCTGGTCGCGGCCACAGAAAAAAAAAGTGTAATACAAACATTCCATTTTCAAAATCCCAAACAAGGGGAGCCCGCGGAAGGAACTGCAGCGCTCGATAATTTGCGTGCGGGGGACGCGTGCAAGGTCACTGTCGCTACACGCGATTCATTCATGCCGCGCTTTTTTTGAATTTCGAACTATTATGGTGGCGTTTATTTGTTGTGTTCGGCCAAATAAGATCGTGTAATAATGTGTGGAGGATTAATTCGTCTTCATTTGACATATTTGCACAAATAAGACACATACACAAATACGCGAAATCAAGTAAGTGTCATTTTAAACGTTTTTATTTTCTTATTTTATTGTGGTTATTCTCGTTAACATCCTGTTATTAGATTTCATCATTTATTGAACATTATTAGATTGTATTCGCGGATAGTATTTGAATTATGAAATTGATGAAAGTTGCGCTACAAACCCGCCTAGTGTCGTGTCAGGAAAGCAACCAGCTCACAGCTCTGTGATTTCTCTCAAATGATTTTCCGTTTAGAAATTTAGTTTTCATTTACAGAATTCTAATTCTTACCTATACAGGTATTAATACAAAGTAATTAAGTAATATTTTTAATTAGTAGTGAGTGTTATAAATAGAAAAGGGGATTAATATTGTTTATCATAAAACATTTCTCATTCTGTAAGCTCCATAATGAAAGTTATTTATGGCAACCAGATTAGTCCTAGGGACTCAGAAAAAAACTGACAACATTATAGAGATGATTATTAACTAACATTATATAATTTTCGGATACTTTAGTTTTTCGGACTTAGAGTTTCCTTTCTAAATTAGATATCCAAAAAATTCTCTACCTATTTCAAATTTTCTGTTAACATTTCTGTCATACGTCATAATATGTCATATGTCTTGTATTCAGCCATAACACTTTTAAATAAACATAAAAGCATATCTTTAAATATAAATTAAATTGTGTACATTTTAACTATACAGTTTTTTGTTTGACCGCAGAGGAAAATTAGAAAAATGAGTAACTTTGTTGAAACCACAACGAATAGATTATAATTCAATTAAAAAATGTCCCTCTGTATAGTCTGTGGGTTGACGGTTCAACGCTCCGGAGATTAAATTGAATATTATCTATGGTATTTTCTTGAATATATCACACTATAATTTATAAATCAATACGGAATGACTGCTTGAAATTGTTACGCATATAATTTAAAACAAGTACCTACTTAATGTCTTAAATTAAATTTAATGAAAAAATAAAATAGGATATAATAATATATATGAAGGAAATTTATAATATAGGTATATATTAATTTTACTTTTAGAATTATCTTATCGGGCGTCAATAATTGATTATACCCATTCTATAAATATCGATATATTAAAACACATCCCTAGTGTTTGAGTGAGATGTATATAAAATTAAAGTATTGCTTGAAGGTGTATTATCAGTAATAAGTTAGTATGTATGTTAGGAGCCGACCGGGTAACAGAACCGGTATGAGACACGTTGCATTGCTAACCTTGACTACACTGGTATACATGCATTATACATACTTCGACGAACCATTCGTGTTATATAAATCCTTTTTGCTCTCACCGTCTTTATACGCTCTGTAGACGTTTACATTTTTTTTTCGTATCAATAATGTCACGTCAAAGAGTGCATTTCAAATATTCTTCCAATATATTTGTTGAGGTGTTTCAACAAAAACAAACGCCGCACTAATTCCCAGCTCGTCAATTGACAGCTCAGTCGTCAATAGAGTTAGTCGGATGGGGCTTCATTCTTAACAAGTGTATTTATAGCAAAGCGAGCTCACCCCTGTTTTTATCAATTAAAATGTGGGTTCGAAGCGTCAAGAATGCTTCCATGCAGGAATGCCAACACACGCCGGTGATATTCAAAATTAGAACTTCGCCCCTTGCATTAAGATGCATACGAATAAGAATGCGATCGGAACCGGCGTTCGAAATTCAAACTTGTTCCCGCTCATTAAGATACACGCTGTCGCTCGTGTCGTCGCTGTCTTTTTGCGTCAAAGGAATTTACGCTTTAATTGTGAGTGTTAAGGGTTAATATCATTAGGTCGTTTTGTGTCGGCGTGGGGTTGCTCATTGTATCCGCGCAGCAATTGGACACGGCAATTGAACTCGCGAGGGGTTCAGGAGTCATTTGTAATTGTTATAATTGTTTAAATGGATTTTTGATCTTTTTTTTAAATACGAATCGTACTAATTCCGTTGTTTTCTTAGAGTTTTTTGTATTTTACGATACAATGTATATTTGAATTACGATTCCTTCATTTTAAACGTAATAATAATGTTATAAATTTTATTCAAGCACTCCTTCAAAAGTATTAACATATTTAAACTCTAACCTCGTTTGAAAGCTGTCTGATATTGAATAACGTTCTTCAAAGGAACTGAATGTATTATAATTTTATTAAATTCTCATTATATTCTTTGTTTCAATATTAATTTAAGCCATCTAATTATATATATGTATATACAACAATAAGTTTCTCCTAAGTGGTGTAATTACTACCAGTTATCGGTAGTTCAGTTCTAGTTAACATTAACCCAGTTTTAAACTATCTTCACAAAGGTCTGACGCCATACAAACATATACTTTTAAATAACGCTTAAAAGAAATGTCATTTGCAACAACGTAATTATGGTTGTCGATTTACTTGTATATTTTATAGAAATGCCATACATATATATACATATGTATATATGTATGTATGGCATTTCCTTGTATTCTATAACACTGTTTGTCGAGTTATTTTTTACCTAATAATTTTGACACTAAAGCGTCACATTCGTCTAACAACAAAAAAAGTCACTAAAAAATGATATTAAATTTCTTTACAATATTCCTGTATATTTTTTGCATTTTATTTTGAAATTCGGTACAAAAAAGATTATTACTATTAGATTGCATGTTTGCATGTTGCATTGTAAAAAAATATATACCTAAATCATACATACATTATTACGTACATACAAAATCAAATATTATTTTCTGTCATAAAGTATACTGTTTATTTTCAATACTTAAATGTTTTTATTATTAAATATGTTCAATATAAAGAGTATATTAACAAATGTCAATCTTCTATCAGTGTAGTGTTCCCCGCTCGCTGGTAGTACGAACATTCCTTGCTAACAGTTACAGCGGTATAACAGTTAGTTAAGATAATATACAATACATATAATATATATAATATTGAATTATACAACATTAATGTGAATTCTGCCAAAAAGAATTAAATATATCTGGCTGTTTAGATTTATATTTTTTATCTGTGCTTTACGTCAACATTTTAATATAACTCTGTGGTATATTAATATTGAAAAATTTTGTTTTTATTTCTTACTAGCTGTGCCCGCGGCTTCGTTCGCGTGGAATAGTGACTATGAGCAGCGTTTTTTTTGACATAATTTTTTTATTTATGAACCGATTGACATGAAACAAACACTAAAGCATAACTGAAGCATACCACAATATATTCGTGAAAACCGCATCCAACTCGGATCAGCCGTTTCTGAGATTAGCGTGAACAGACGAACAGACAAAAAAAAGTTAATTACATTTTTGGGTTCGACATCGACATAACAATAACCCCTGCTATTTTTTTATTTTTATTTTCAATGTACAGACAGCACTTTTCTACAATTTTATTGTATAATATAATGTATAATAATCTATATCTATACATATAATATATGTATAGATATAGATTATTATACATTTTCAACGTATAATAAAGCCATACATACATATATTCGCGTCTCCACACGTTATCAGTAGTAGTTAATGTTCATGTTGCCGGGGGGTCATTGACCTCTCTCATTGTACATTATCCTGGCCGTGCTTGAGGAACCCGAGCCGCACCATTGACGAACTAAAAGCTCCATTGTTCGCTAAACCTTAGAACCAGTCGATAACTAACTTAGTACTAGCGACACACGCCACACGATATGTTTCATTGTGCCGTCGAATGTCGATACACTCGTGGAAACGTCTAGATTATGGTTTCATAGTATTTTTCATATATTTCATAGTATTTCATACATTTCATATATTTCATAGTATGTCATATATTTCATATATTTCATAGTATTCGTTTATTGGATTTTCTTAATAATAGTTCTCACAACTAATTTGAATAACAAAAGTTTTTTTTAATTACTATAAAGACTATAATATAACAAATATTTGATTCAATAATCCATATTTGATATTTAATTAACTTATAAACAAACAATATAAATAGTTTCTGGTTTTTCAAACATTTATATAACAATTCGTGGAATAACTTCGAAGAAAAACTTAAGCTACTATTGAATTTAATAAACAAAATTCTCAGTAAATATAAAAAAAAATGTTATTTCTTCCAATAAATAACGCAAGAGTATATTTTTCATTACAGTATTAAATTTCATACTTTTATTTATAAAATATTTAAGAGTTTCGAGAATACAAACAACTTTATTACACGAAATAGTTCAGCCTTTTTTCCAGTAGACATAATAAAAATAAATGAACCAATAATATCTTTATAAATATCACGACTTTCAATATTAATTTTCAATACAAACAAAGTGAACAATGAGAACAACGGGAGCCATCCGAATAACATAATAATTGAATTAACAATAAAAGATCAAAGGAAATATATATAACGTATTAATAATAAATATTTATTTCATACAGATATAATAATATATTGTTTGATATAATGTTTCCTTGTTTAATTTAATCTGTTGAATATATGGCACAGATAAAAAACGTGACATACAAAAATATAGATAATAAATAAGATGATTAGTAATGTACGAAATATATATTTTTTTATTTTGGAGAGGAATCCTTTTGGATTGATTAAAATCTAAGATCTGCCTATTCACTAATATTATTTGTCTGTATTCATTTAATTCAGATTTAAGTCATAATTAACTATACATATATGTATATTATTTCTTTTATTTATCCTATTATCTCGTAATATTTAAAATTTAGTTCTCACTATATTCCATATTCGAATCTGACAATCGAGATGACAGTAATATATTGTCATTTATGTCAAATTATTTTTGACATTGACATTTAATATGACTTCGTTCAAGATAAAATATTTGCACAGATAATTAATTAATAAATATAGCATACAGTTAATGTACATTCTAGCCTGGCTACTGTTAGCACTTAGAATACATTGTTTCATTTAAAAGTCTAAAACGTTAAAACCATTTCTTCGACCGCAGACCGCGGTGTGTTCCGCTCAGGTAGACACGAGATATAAGATTTTAACTGTATTTTAGAAGTTCTTAAAATAGAAATATTTTTTATATATATGTATTTAAAACATTGTATGAATTTCAATTTATATTTGTCTCTTTTTACTACATAAGTAAAGACGTGAGACAACAGTTTATAGAATTATTAAGTACCTAATTGTAACTTCTTTTAAACCATATAATAATAGTTTGAAAGAAAAATACATCGATATGAAGAGGATTTCAACCTATATCTTATAATTCGCTTCCATAATCTATTTCTTTTATATTCTACCACCACTATAGGTATCAAAATATTGCCTCAAACTTTACAAAAGCGAGAAACAGACAAAATCCCACTTAGTGTATTACGCAAAAACTCCTAAACCGCAACATAGAAGCTACGTAGTTAAATTTCAGTATAATAAAGTTACCCCATAAACTACTGGCCCTTCAGTCTACCGGTGCTTGAGGTACGACGAGGGCCCTTCACACTTGACAACAGAAAAATATACATACATTTATTTATACACAATTTTTTGTCCAACAACCAGCGTACGTATAAATCAACATAACAAAATAGGCATAATTAGGTATACAAAATAAATTTAGAGAAATGAGTATAGGGTTAAACTTTAAAGACTTATTTTACTTTAAGTTTTGACCAATCTCGTCTCAGCGATTTCACTATGATTATGTCCAGTCTGGACTTGTTATTAATTTATAATAAATATACTTATTCTTATTCGTAATTGAATATAAATGATAAATATTTAAGTAACACTACTGTTGTAGTTTCTTAACAATCCTTGAAGGAGTTCTTGAGTTAAATAGAAGAAAGTAGAATTATTTGTTTAAGACCTCAGTAGCAACCCTGATTGTAGACGTGGTTTTAAATTTATATTTTTGCTCTCAACTAGAAATGACATAGATTTTTTTTTTTTCAAACAAATAGGTATTTCGCAATCTCTTCAAAGCTTTGCATGAATATGATAGTTCATAATTTTTACAATCAGATCAGAATAATCCAAGCAAACCTACAGAACACGTATAATATAATAAATGAAATTAATAATCATCTGAAACTAATGAGAAAAATTTGAAACTGTTATTAAAATTTTGCTATTATATAAGAAACGATTTTAACACATAAAAAACTCTTTATATAATATATATTATATTTATACAAGTTGCAATTCAATATAAAGTATTCATTCTTTTATATTTCATTGTATGTAATAGATAGACGTGAGCAATACGTTTACTATCAGTTTGCATCGTCACACTACATACGGAGCGTTAATAGTTTTTTATTCATAGATCTTTGAACATAGTATTAACGTAGGTTATTGTATGAGAAACGAGAGACGATAGGTACGTATGTAGTATGACGATATAAACTTGTAGTATGTAATTATTATCAAAGCAATAGCTTTATACTATGATTCAAAATAACATATACAGGGTGACTGGTGAATTACTATCGATATTTGAGGACGTGATATTTGACGATCATATATGACAAAATAAAAATTAATATAACATAAATATTAATAAACTTCTAAGTAAAGTTAATCAAAAGTTATGTAATTAATTACGCATCGTGTGAACACCCTACAGATTAGGTATACACACACACAAACGCGTGCGGCGGCGTGGTGTTGTATCAGCACGCCGCCGCACGCGTCCACACTTGGAACACTTGGAACGTGTCCACACATTATTTATTTATACAGAAATTTGGTCATAAATTAAGTGCCTATTTTTTTTACATAA